GACAGTGCCGAGAGGCTAACAGATGGCGGTAGTGACTGCTTTAAGTTTTTTCCAGGTATAACGAAGACGATTCTATCCTCGATATGAAAAAAAGGAAAAAAATAATACAAAACGTAGGAACGTAATATGTAAATATTCTTTTAACTGCTGCTGATTAGTCTTGTAGGTGGTTAGCAATATTAAGGAGAAACGCACTGCCTCCATCTTCCGTGGAGATGATATGTCCCTCTGAAATGATAGTAACTATCTTCGAGTCATGACAGAAATCCACATTTTTTTTTACCGATGTGAAAAACTTAAAACTTTTAACTGCATCTAGTTTTAGAAGTTTACTTAAAAAAAAGGAATCTTTAAGTTCATTCTCTTACCTTCACGCTTTACCACCGTAACGTGCAGATTTGATACAACGAAACAAGTGACGAAAAATAACAAATAAAATAATAAAAAATATGGACTGACACAACGCTTAATATAATGATCCCAGCCGAGTACAGAACACGGTTTGTTAGTCCTCTTACTTGAACATAGTCTGTACAGCAACGATGGTGTTACAATCAGACAAGGTGTCTTCCTCCGCAGAATTGGACATCTCCTTGTTCACCACGACCACATTCTCCGACAGAGTTATCCCTGCTCGTAGTAAGTCATCGAGGCTAAAAAAAAAGTATAAGAACCATTGGTAACTTCATGGTTCCAGTAAAATATAGCCTCGTTATAAAAAAATCTAGACATATCACAAAATGTATTGATAAGTTCAAGATGTCTCCGACAGCCAAAGTAGCTGATGTGCCAATAAACCCAATATTACTACCACCACCACATAAGTTTATAATTTTAATATAATTTGAAATACGAGGTGCGATCGGAACGTTTCTAGACTGTGTCAATAGCGGGGGAACCGGATGTAGTACGAGCTTCTGCCGCTAGGGGGTGCGGCCTACATTCATAGTGAATCAGTGTGCCAGCCGGCATCATCGAATTAGCATTTGTTTCTTAGTTACGGGCGTTTTGGTAGTGCATTACACCGACCCTCCTGCGATTTCGGAATGGCGTGTGCATCAAATTTTGCCAAAGACTCGCCAAAACGGCTACGGAAACCTATGAAATGCTAAAGCAAGCATTTGGGGAGTCCGCAAACTTTTGTGTGGCATTCACGTTTTAAAAATGGCCGGCCGAACCTCTGTCGATGATGACGAGCGTTCTGGACGACCATCTTCGAGCACAACGCCCGAAAATGTTACGAAGATCGACGTCGTACCATCAACGACTTGTGCGACATTGTTAGGATAGGCTATGGGACCTGTCAGCTGATTCTAAAGGAAGAACTCCACATGCGACGCATCCTGTCTGAGGACCAGAAGCAGAATCGACTTCTCGTTTGTCAGGAGCTCAAAGATCTTGCAAGAACTGACCCCAACTTCCTTTCTAAGCTCCGTGTGACTTCTTCCTCTTCCCAAAGATGAAAATTCAGCTAAAGGGAAGGAGATTTGAGACGATAGAAGAGATTCAGGCAGAATCGCAGATGGTGCTTGACAGGCTGACAAAGAAAGATTTCCAGGGATGCTTCCAGGCTTGGCAGCGGCGCTGGGATCGTTGTGTTCACTCCCAGGGGAACTACTTCGAGGGTGATGGATGAATTTAATACCTGAGATAAGTGTACGGGTTTTTATAGGCGCAGTCTTGAAACTTTCCGATCGCACCTCGTATTATTGCAGAATAATGCAAGTGGTTTTCTTCAAATGATCCGTATGCTTTGTACTAACTAAATAACTAACTAATTAGATGGCTTATGGAACACGAAGGTTCATCATCGAGTTAACCAAAGCCCTCCACAGGTCCCTGTCCTGTGCAAACAAAATCCAGTCGCCTTCAACTTCAATCTCCCATAGATTCCGCTTGATATCCTCATGTAGTATCCTAGTTTGTCTTTGGCTAATTTTCTGACAATTTCCCGCTCCCTGTTGATGTCCACACTTTCATTACCTTTATCTGTCTCTAAAATTTTAAACCTATTCGAAATTTCAAATCGATATCGTTCCTTTATCTCTCCCTAATTTAATTTTTTTTTTAAAATCAAATCTTTCCGTGTCGAAATTTTGCTTAGATTTTCTACTTCCTGAAAGCCTCTCCCTCACTTTTGTCACTACCAGATAATAGTCAGTGCCACAATCTGTTCCTCTGATTGAACTCACATCAATTAGACTTGTCTGCCTTCTATTATCTACCAAAACATGATCAAACTTATTCTGGTTGTTTCAAATTAAAATTTGAAAATAATATGAAATCAAACCCAAATTTTAATATGAATCCTATTATGGAGCGCTGTGAAGTGGTTTCTGATATCGAGCTCAAATCCTCTGAATTTCTTTACGTAAAGATACTTTAAAATTATGCTACCCGCAAAGCAGGGCCCTTACCGGTCGATTGAACCGAGCATCCAGTACACGAGCGGAAAGTAGGATATGGCATCCAAGAGGGCAGGATCGGGACGGCGTTCAAGGAGAAGAATGATCGGGTTCAACGTCGTTTTGGCGCGGAAATGTGCCCTTAGTGGGACGATGAAGTTGTAGATACCATTTGATGCATAATCAGCAGCTAAGATGATAGTTTTGTTTTGCCAGTTATATTCTTTGGCATTTCTGTAATTGCAATGTTCACACACCTGCGAACAAAACAAAAAATAAATCGGATTACCCCGCGCAACTGTAGCGATCTTTCAGCTGTTTTGACGTCCCGTTGAAAAAAAAAAAATTCGAATCTATTTATTTAAAACGTCTGTGAATTTGTTTTAAATTTATTAAACATCGTATAAATTAGGTCGTTGCATCTTTTCCAAAAAAAAAAAAATTAAGAATGTAATTACGTTGTTCTTGAAAATTAGAATTCTTTATATTTTTGAAAGAAAAATGTCAGTTATATATTATTTAGTTGACAGACTGAACAAACATTAAAAAAAAAGCCTCAACAGGGGTTATATAGAAAAATTATGTTATATAAAATGATTTAATATAATATAATAATGAAGTCTGCATTTGAGCGAGCTTTTATATCTCGTAACTCACTTTCAGGACGTGTCATATGAGTACGTAACCATATCTTTTACACTGTTACATATAATTTTATGCTAAGTAGGTCTTATAATTAAAATGCTAATGCGTTTATTTCGAGACTTACTTGAGCTAGCTGAAGACAACAGAGAGGTTTCTTCTCTTTGAGCAGGTAACAGAGAGTTGGGCTTACACCAATGTACGGAGACACAGGGGGAAAGCCCTTCACAATGCTATAAAAATTAGAAATTTGTTAGAAATTTATTGCATTACAAAGAGAAACAATTTTTCTCACCGCAGATCCTCTTTTAATGTTCGCTAATGATATGTGCTACGTATACTGGATATTGTACTTGGAGTTATGAAAAGTTATTTAAATTATACACAAGAGTTTCAGTGATCTATTCTAAGTAAAAACTGTAGACTTATTACGACAAATTTATTAAGTATCATTAGAAATAAGTGAACCACATTATTATTGTTGAAAAATTTAATAGGACATTACGCAGTGTGTCCAGAGAATCACTCTGGGGTTTTCTAAATCATTATACATACTGAAAAAAACCAAAGTCAATCAAAGTCAAGTCGAAATGTTTCTGTCAGAAAATTTCTACGTCCACATAAGTGACTTAAGTTCATACATGTCTCAGCGTCCCCTTGTATGACGGTTAAACTTATTAAATATTCCATATTTATGAGATGGTAAAGTTGCGTCATATTGTGATATAATAAATATATATTATTTAAATCTTGTCCGTCAAATCACAATTAATTCTTATTAAATATTAAAATATTACAATAATTAACATTTAAAATATTAAATGATTTTCTTTATCGAAATATTCGATTTACATTAGAACATCATTTTTCACGATATGTTTCAGTTCCTAAAAGAACTACCTTCAGGTGTATTATATAAAGATTCAAATCAATTATAACTTAAATACAATTTATATATATTATTTTATCTGATAAACATCTGATAAAAATGTACGCTAATATTTTAATATTTAATAAGAATTTATTGTGATTAGACGGACAAGATTTAAATGATATATATTCCATATTTGTAAAATCTGACGAAGACAAAGTTTTACAGAAAGATGGAGCTCTGAATAATTGTAGTAAAGCTGGGTTTCTGGGTGTGAGATGGGTGTGGGCCCAGTCATTTGCCTTCCTGACTCACCACACCTGCCTCAACTTATAATGTGTTCTTTGCTTTAAGTGCGTCTGTCCAGATGATTATACTTGAGAACCACTGGATGGATTGAGATTAAATTTGATTTGGAGATTGTATCATGAGTATATTCTGTGTATTCCTCTACAGAATACACTTTCCGAGCTCGTTCTTGAAGGGTTACGTCTGAAGCATCGAGCAGGAGTGTACTAACAGCCACATTTGATGAACTCAAAAAGTGAATCATTGCAACTATGAAAACAGTAATAGCAGAAATGATGAACTGTGTATGGACTGAAATTGAGTATCAGTTAGAAGTGTTTTGAAGATATCCGTCTTCTGGGTTGTTGCGCTGTACAGTCTGGTTGATGTTTACAAACGTTTCGGAGGTTATACTGCCTCCATCATCAGGGCGATGAGTATGAAGATTTCTGTCTTCTGGGTTGTTGCGCTGT